GAGTGAAACTCCGTCTTAAAAAAAAAAAAAAAAGGACAGAGATCATTTTATCTTGGAGTGGTAATTAAGGATTTCATGGTGACACATGAAGACACTGAAAATGTGGACAGGTTAGAAGAAAAGGTAGAGCAGCACGTTCAGTGGAGAGAACAGCGTCCTGGCCCTCAACCCAAATTGGCGCCACCCAAACTTCAGCCCCTTGAGGCTGTGGCCACATTAGAGGGTACCCTAGGCCACTGGTGCCTCTCAGCAGATCTGCAGCTCGACTGCAGATGCCGCGCCGCTGCTTGACACAGGCTGTGGCCGGCACTCCCTTGTTCCTGGGCCATCACCTCTCAGCACACTGACTTCAGGGGGCCCCTCCCACCACAGCCAGCATCTTCTGCTGTGCAAAAGCAGACACACATCCACCGCACTTTCAGGGACTCTTCCAACCCAAGACCCTTGGTGTGGCAGGTGCTCTCTTGCTGTGACATTTCCCTCTTGAAAACCACCCAATATCATCGACTAAGACCTAGGCTCCCACTTCAGGGCAGCAGTGACATAGAAATGGGCCTCACAGCATGACGGTTTAGTGAACTCTCACTTGGCCCATCGCCCCCAAGCCACCAGCCACCTAAGCAGCACAGTGGCCTCCTAAAGTCATTCCGATGGAAGCTGTGGCATGGGCTGTGGAACCACAAGGGGACCAAGCTCCTTCCGAGAGTCCTAACTGTCTTAACTCCCTACCTCATGGCCACCAGCGCCTCAGCACAGTTAGGCCAGACCCACCATGGTGACGACCTTGGTAATCACAGAAGTGTCAGGTTCTTTTTCCCTTAGAGATCACATCATTCACATTTTCTCCAGGAATGAGAATGCCTCTTATGGTCATAAAAGGTCCATCGTCTCAACATCAACCATTTACTGGACGATGCATTGTGGATGGATAGCATGCTGTGATCCCCTGAGGACTGAAGGCCCAGGCCCAAATGCACCCAGCAGGCCCAAAATGCTTCTTCTGCAACACGCCTCCCATCTTGATGTGCAGCTTCCAGCAGAAGCTCCAGCTCTTACTACTTGGAAAGGTACCTAATGTCTCCCACTCACCCCTCCCTGGAGGTGTAGGGATTACTGCTCCAAGACCCAGGCACAGACTGAGTCACTAAACAAAGAGAAGCCTTCACACTAGTGAACACAGACTACATTAGCAGACAACCACATGGAAGTATCATTCCCAAACAGCCTGTGTCAATGGTGGAGAAAGACTCTGAAGAAATGTTAGTGAAAGCTTACCCAATGATCGATTTCAATATGGAAGCATCTGGAAGTAAGCCCTGAGTGATAAGATGTCGGTGCTCTACCAGAGAAGATGTCTGCTATCTTATGTTCCCATGGCTGTGGGGCCACTGTCAGACTCAGGATTCGAAGCCCAAGAGCTGCTAGAGCAAAACTGCCCTGGTCAGAACTTGTACCCCAGCTGGAAAGCAGGGGACTGCGGGAATCCTGTGAAGGTCTGTCCCCCACATGCCACCAGACATCAGTCCAACTGGCAACTCAATCCTTAGGCATCAAATGGGTCCAGTGGCATCAAGCTGAAACACCAGCAGCCCTCACAATCTCAAATAACATTTCAAAGACCAGCAGGTGGGCGGAGCACAGTGGCTCACCCTGTAATCCCAGCACTTTTGGAGGCCAAGGCAGGTGGACCACCTGAGATCCAGAGTTGATACCAGCCTGACCGACATGGAGAAATCCTGTCTCTACTAAAAATACACAATTAGCTGAATGCGGTGGCACGTAACCATAATCCTTGCTACTAGGGAAGCTGAGTCAGGAGAATTGCTTGAACCTGGGAGACAAAAGTTGCAGTGAGTCGAGATTGTGCCACTGAACTCCACCCTGGTCAGCAGGAGTGACACTCTGTCTCAAAAACCAAAAAAGAAAAAAAAGAAGACGATGACCACCACAGCTGGCCCTCCCAATGAAAGCCCAGGTGTGAATTCAAACTGGCTATCAACACCGCAGCCCAAACCCAGACTGCAGCTGCACATTGGAGCCTCACGTGCAGAGACGGTTTGCAGAAGGATCACGGGCTCTAGGATGTGCATGTGCTCTGGTGTATAAGAGTTGTGGACGAAAACATCCCACATCACTAAGGAAAACACAGCCCATGCTTTGGCTGAATGAGTCCCTAAATCCCGAAGACCCACAGGGCTAACAGCCTGTGCCACAGCAGCAGTAAAGCGAATGCCCAGACCCCCACTTCCCTTCATGGGGGGGCCACCCCCATGGGAATAGGCATTTGTTTCAGACAACAGTGCCCCTGCCCGAGGAGTCGTCAAGGGACGCAATGGACTTGCTGGAATTGGAGACACCAAGGAACCTCGCCTTGACTGTGGGGTCAGGAACAAACCAGCCTCTCCTTATTGCTACGGGATACTCTGTACTCCTGACTGCTATGCTCCCCACCTCAGCACGTGGCGCTGGTTTTCGGCACATACTCCGACCCTTGCCATACTCCTTCCTTAGCTCAGGCTTTGCTGAGTGCTCTGCAGATGACCCAATGCAATGGTATTTAGCTGAGATCACCATCTGCGCTCAGTGTGACCCCATGAGCTCTATCTCCAATGGCAAGGAAACCAAAGGGCCGAGGTCAGATCGTGAGGCTGCCCTACAAGTTAGGCAAAACATATGGACTTCTGAGACTTCTGTGTAACAGCACTGCACCCAAATGTAACCGGCTCTCCCAGTAATAGCTCTCTCATGTGTTACTGGGAAAATGTCTATGGATTGGAATGTGCTGTGCGCAGCAGGCTGGACCAGGTTTGACCTCTGAAGATCACTGAATGTTCCCACAACCTTGTAACCTTCCCCACGAGCACACCACCTTTTCTCATTTTCCATGTATTCCCACATCCACTGGGTCCTTACAGGGCACCTACTAATGCCCTAGAACCTAAAACTATTTCCCGGCCCCCGTGCCCCAAATAGCCGTAATTGGTTCTTCTGCTGGGACGAGACCATTGCCCACTTCCTCAAATGGTGAAACTCCGAGGCCAGCTGCAGGTCAGGAACTCACTGCTGCCTCAGAGTGACAGCCGACCCCACTGCTTTGGAACAGCGACCACCCCTAAGGAGACCTGAGACGCCTCAGCCCACCTTAAGATGACGGAAAACACTTTAACTCTTACTCATAGACAACTGTTTAGTCTTGAAGCATCTCACTGCCAGGCAAGGAGGTAACTGTCCCCCCTAGGAATCCATGTGCTCCGTGCACTCGCTCAACTCAGGAGGGTCCAACAAACCTGACCTGCTCTTCAGCCTCACCCAGCTGTTCACCACATCTCGGCTTGGCCGAATGGATCTGGTGTTTTTATGGTTAGACCCCAGGGCCTGCAGACGCTGATTGAGAGCAAAATCCCAAATCCTCCTCAGTGAGTAGGCTGGCGCTCTTTCCCTAGTCTCCTTACAGAGTGTGCACTATAATAGGCAAGCTGGCCTTTCCTGGTGGCTTTAAACATTCCCTGGGTCCACGTAGTTCAGCCTCAGCTGTCAGCACAGGCATCACAGGGTCAGTGTCTTCACAGTCATGGAGAATCCACAGTCGGCTGCTACCTGGGCCTGGCCGGGGCTGACCAAGGTAGATGAGGGGTCAGTCCCTCTGTGGACTCCTGTTTGGAGCCCAGCTTCCCAATGAATTTCTCAACTGCCCTCGCCACCGGAGTTATGTAATAATGCACTTAACAGAAACTAACCCCGGATGTTAGGACACCTGATTCCAAATGAACTTAAATAGGAAGTCCTCTCCTGTTTGTGCACGGCTGCTCTTGCTACAGGAGGCCCGGGACAACGAACTGCTGTCTGCCCTCTCTGGTCACTCTGCCTAGCCTGAGGATCTGTAAGTAACACAAAACTGAAACTTTCACATTGAGGTTTCAACGCTGAAGCCGTGTCCCCAATCTGACCTGTGACTCTCAGGCCACCCCAGAGGGACCCAGCAGGTGAATGCCCTGCTGTGCACTTCCGTCTGAACCTTTGGTGGCTGCTGGGGGCAGTGGCTGCCAGCTAAGTTAATAGAGAAACTCAAGGAATTTCCTTCTCAATACACCTGTCCTAGTTGACGTGTTCAATAGAGGCAATAATCGCTCGTTAGAACATGCTTCTCTTGTGAGAGAAGCCTCGGCAGGTCCTTGGCCTGTTTTTTAATCAGGTTATGTGTTTTTTGCTGTTGGGTGGTTTGACTTCCTTATGTATTTGGATATCTACCCCTTCCACCACTGACGGTTTGCAAATATGTCCTCTCGTCTTCTGCGTTGCCTTTTCATTCAGTGGCTTGTTCTGGCCGTGCAGATGCTTCAGCGTTCAGTGCTGCCCCATTTGTCTCTTCTCCCTTTCACTGCCTGTGCTTTTGGCGTCATAGCCAAGAAGTCGTTACCTGCATCAGTCAAAGCTTTATCTTCATATGTTCCTCTCGCAATTTTATGGTTTCAGATCTATGTTTAGGTCGTTGCATTTTGAGTTGATTTGTGTATATAGTATATGATAGAGGACCACATGTATAGGAACATCAAATTATAAGGTGGTATACAGGAGATATGTATCATGTTTAATTCTTATTCATATCTCGATAGAGCTGGAAAGAAGGTTTTGGCTGTAGACGAACTTTTTACCTCTCTATCACTGGGCTCATTTCACCTACAGCCTGACAGGGTCCTGGTCCTTTCACACTGGCCCCTACAGGAGGCTACTCACCCCGTAACTCCCTGAGGGTGGTAATGCCTTTGACACCTGCAACAAGCGGCTCTTCACTTGATAGGAATTGATGCCTGTGCCAGAGTCTAGACCTGCAGGGGGTAGTGGGGCATCTGCAGAAAATGAGACATTTGTTCCCTGAACTTATTCAACAAAAGCACTGCTGTTATCCTTTGGTTGAATATTAAAAAGTAAATATTTAATGAAGTGAGACACAGGAAAGAGATGCTCGGATCCTCATTATCACCATTTTCTCCAACCCAGCACAGACACTACACATAGAGATTCACGCTAGACTGAAACCTGGGAGAGCAAAGGAGGAAAAGAGGGACGTGGAGACCAGTGGGATCCAAGATAATCTCCAATGAAACACACACCTCCGCTCACTCAGAAGGGTCGAGGCTTCTTGTCTCTGAGGCTTCTCCCTGCAGAGCAATAAGTCCAGGCTAACTCCTCACTCCCCACACATCCACTCCTGCTCTCCCTCCTCCAGGTCACCCCAGCCATGAGGACCCTCGCCTTCCTCGCTGCCGCCGTTCTCCTGGTGGTCCTGCAGGCCCAGGCGGAGCCACTCCAGGCAAGAGCTGACGAGGTTGCAGCCCAGGAGCAGCCTGGAGCAGACACTCAGGAAGCGTCTGTTTCCTTCGTATGGGATGAAGATGCTGCACATCAGCTTTCAGGTGAGAGAAGCCAGAACGCAGAGCTGCCAAGTCTAGAGGGAGAAACAGGAATCGGGCTCTGGAATGGAGTCTCAGTGGTGGATGTCACTGAGGTGGCTTAACTTAGCAGCTCTGGGCCTTGATTTTCTCATCTATAAATGGAATAGAGAGCCAAATAAGCCTAAAAGACTTGAGGTTGCTCAGCCTGTCGAGTAGTCATTCTTTCATTCCTTTGCTTTTTAAATAATGCTTTCACCTTAGAAAAAAACAAAAGTAAAAAATAAAGGCTTGACTCCAGGATATGTCTGTGAAATTCAGTAGCTTTAAGATATGAAGAGACCGTCTGACTAGTTCTTTCTGGATCTAAACATGTGGACTCAATTACAAGGAGAATATTTTGTTCTATCTGTAGAATAGTCTTGAAAAAGCAGAGCCAGGCCACAGAGTGTGTTCAGCTGTGCGTGTAATGGGGCAGAAGCACTGAAATGAGAGCAAAAGAGAATGAGTGAATGGAATCCTGTGTGACCATCACTCTTCTGTGTGACCAGCACTGATCTCTGTAGTTTTCCTGTTGACTAAGGTTGCTCGTACTACTGGCCCTAATGCAGCCAACATTCCCCATCAGCCAGCATGTGACTTCCCAAGATTCCCTTTACCACCCACTGCTGACCTTGGTGATCAATTTCTCATTCTCTCTGCGCGTCCCCAGGCTCAGGAAGACGCACACGCTGCGCTTGCAGACTCGTAGGCTGCCGTTCCAGAGAACGTGATTTGGGGACCTGCTACACTGGTGGTAGATTATGCTGCCGCCGAGCTTCCAGATAAAAATAAGCTCCCGATTTATTTTGAGAGTTAAAGACATCCTTGTCACTCCTGTACCATGTCCTCAGTTTCCTTTCCTCATCCCAAATAAATGCCTTCTAACAAGCTCTCTGTGTTTACGCCTCTTTCATGTGTCATGTGTGTCTATGTCAACATACTTGGGATACACGTATCAGAAACATATATCAAATTTTTGAACAAAATAACATTCCCAGTTCTAGGAATTTCAAACAGGAATTTGGGCTTCAGACCCAAATTGAAACGAAGGTCCAAATGACAACACCGATCTCCCATCCACTGCTCTGCCTTTTCACTCTGCCTCACTTTCTCTGGATCCACTGTCAAAGAACTGGCATGTGATGGGCAAATAATCAGTGTCAGCTTAAAGTCCATGCAGTCACAAAATCTTTCCTTCTCAGGAAAAACCACCATCCTCTATGCTAAACAATTGAAGATCATTCTTGAAACAATCCCAGCTTATACATCTGCCTTTTAAGACATAGGGTTACATGAGATCCACTGAGGCAGCTTTAAGAGGGAAATGGGTGGTTAGCGAAGGCGGGATGCATGGAACAGAAAGCGAAGCAGCCCACACTGGGACGTCCTCCTTAAACACACGTCCAGCCACGTCTACTAAGACCTGGATCCCACACCATAAAGTCGTCTCCACTCCTAGAAAACGCACAGGCACAAATGCTCCACTGCACTTTACAATGTGCACTCTCCTGGCTTGCCTTAAAGCCGCTGAGAACCTGATTCTGCTTGGAAAATACAACCTCAAAGGGGCAACGAGCAAAATAAAGAGACAAAAAAACATTTCATCAGAAACCTTCAGTTCCTGTTGCTGCTGCAGGGTGCTGACGCTCTGATACCCCAAAACCTCCTCCACATCAGTGGGTGAGCAGGAAACCAGGTCTGGGAAAGGGAATGAACCAGTAGTGCCCCCTGAGATGCTCAGGGCATTTTCCGGGAAGGACACAGCATCCCCTTCTGTCCTGCCTCCACCTGAAGCCTCCCAACCAGGCACAGCACATGTGGGGTCTGCACCTTTCTGACCCTGTCTTCCTCCTCCCCTCCAAGAGACAGGGTCACTGCCTAACCCCGGTGTCTCTGAGGGCCAGGCTGACATCTTGCTGGGGTGAGATTTGACTCTTCCTCCTGTCTGTTCTCATTTTTTCTCCCCTGATTCTCATTGACCCCGAGCACTTGTCCAACATGTTCTGCAAACGGCCTTTCAGGACAGGACCACACAGCCCGGGGAGGAGTCCTGCGTGAGTGCCTCGTATTGTCTCTGGATCTGGCAGTTGCAACTGGTGAATTCAAAACACGAGTTTGACAAAGAAACGATATTCCAGCAATGGCTACTTATACCGGGTGGTCACTGGTAAAATGTCCCAAGGAGTCTGAGTGGGGCAGAGGGATTACAGGCGTCAGAGAAAGAGACAGTGTTTCAAATGGATTATTCACCTTTCTTCATTAAATCATCTTATGGCCCAGATAATTCTGTGACCACCAACACCAACCACAAATGCCCAGACCCCAGGAGGAAGGAGCAGCTGTTCCCCTATCCACCTCCTGCAGATTCTGAGCAGGTCTTGGCCCGGGACTGAGGCTCTGCCTGTCCAGAGAGACAGCTCAGGGATCCCACTGACACATTGCACAGCTGGGGGACCCAATACAGATCTTAGGTTTTATAGAGGGTCTATGTCTGACAGAGAAATGGTCCCAGCTCTACCTCTTCTTTAGACAGGGCAGGACACATATTAAGATTGAGAGCGCAATGGCCAGGCAACCTTCCTTGGGTTCCTGTGACTGCCACTGACTTGAAGTCACGTGGTCCTTGCTGTAACTCTGCATATTTCTCCTAACTGTCCACTGGGCCGGGCTCACTCCATCACGGGGCTTCTGCTCCACCTGCTTTGCAACCCAGGTCCTGGGGCCTCTGCCAAAGCTTCCCTTTGCCACTGAAGGCTACGCTGATTTCTCAATTTTTAATTGCAACTAGTTCCACCTGGAAACCTCAATCCCCTCCTTCTCTCATTTTAAACTGTAGAATTTCACACCATCTCACATTCTGTACATTTCACCTGCTTTCTGTAACGTTTGCCTTCCTACTCCAGGAAGTGAGCGGCACGTGTCACTCGTTGTCAGAGCACAGTGCACAGAAGACTCCCTAACAAATGGTAGGAGATCAGCAACTTCATTATGATTCAGTTAAGTAATCCTGTCTAACACCACATCTTATTACAAAATGACATTTTTATAAAACTTCATAGACTAAGCGTGACACCAATGGGGATAAGGCAGCCCATGTGTTTAGTCTATATGACAGCATTCCTATAAAAATCATTTAAAACTAACATAGGAGAATATCACGGGTAAAATATGGCTTTGTGAAGCATTACTACTTTCTAATGAAGAAACTAGGAATTTTGGCCTGTAGTAGCAAGAAAACAATTCATGATATATCTTTAACTGAAATGTACAAGATATTAGCATAATAAATTAAAAAGAAGAGGCACGCCTGTAATCCTAGCCCTTTGGGGGGCTGAGGCGAATAGATCATGAGGTCAAGAGATCGAGACCATCCTGGTCAACATGGTGGAACCCCGTCTCTACTAAAAATACAAAAAGCTAGCTGGGCATAGTGGCATGTGCCTGTAATCCTAGCTACTCAGGAAGCTGAAGCAGGAGAATTGCCTGAACCCAGGAGGCGGAGGTTGCAGTGAGCCGAGATCGCGCCATTGAATTTCAGCCTGGGTAAGAAAAGCGAAACTCCGTCTCAAAAAAGAAAAAAAAAAAAAAAAAAAAAGGAAAAAAGGGGAAGTAAAGCAGTAGTCTAGGCAAAGAAAATAGCATTGGGACAAAAAATATGCAGGGTCAACCTCCACTAAATTTAGAGGAATTACTGTTGCAACAGAAAAGAATGGAATCGAACTCAGGCTGAGGTGCTGAGAAACATCCATCAATCCCAGGGAAGGGGACAGATGAGGACGGAGCATCCCGTCCTCCACTGGGAGCACCACCTGTGGCTTCTGCTACTGCAGCCCAGGGTGGGTAATGACAGCTGCAAACCCCAGGGACAGAGAAAGCAGGGAGAGGTGTGAGGGTCTCCAGACAACCAGGGCAACTTGCTCAGCCTCAGATAAGACCCAGAAATAATTATCTAAAAACCATGCTCTGTATGTACACTGAAGACCTACTAGGCATTTTAAATAACCCACTCACGTGATCAAATCATAAAGAATGAATCAGAGGTGGGCCACGTTTTCAAAGTGTGATTATTCCAGGACACAGCATCCCTGTCTCACTGTAGGGCTTCCATAGTGTGGTTCCGAAGCCCTACAAGGCATGGAAGCACAGCAGAAAGCGTGCTTGGCCCTTTCATTTCCACTCACCCGCTCCTGTTCTTAAGCCCTCATCCTCAAGATGTGAAGCTGTGTCTAGAACATCTCCAGGAAGCTTCCCATCCACAATTTCAGTCTAAACCCACTTGCCGTCCCCCACGTTGATGGCCTTCCTGCCAGTGAGCACAGTCTACACAGCGTCCCACTGAACGTCTTCACGTTTCCTCTCCACACTGGAATCTGCTCTCTCACTTCCCTCCTTGCTCCAGTCCTGTCCGCCCTCAAGGAGGGCATGAAGCCTCTACTGCTCCACAGGGTCACTTAACTTTAGTTAGACACTTAACTGGGGACACTTCTTCCACAGTGTCACGTGACTTTAGTTAGGCACTGACTGGGGACAAGCTTTTTGGCACCAGGGACAGTGCCAAAGACAATTTTTCCATGGGTGGGGGTAGGGATGGTTTTGGAATGAAACTGTTCCACCTCCTATCATCAGGCATTAGTTAGATTCTCGTACGGAGCACACAACCTAGATCCCTTGCATGCACAGTTCACAGTAGGGTCCACACTCCTATGAGAATCGAATGCCACTGCTGATCGGATAAGAGGCAGAGCTCAGGCAGTAATTCTCACTTGTCCATGACTCACCTCCTGCTGTGTGGCCGAGTTCTTAAAAGGCCACAGATCGACACTGGTCCTGAGCCCAGGGGCTGGGGAACCATGCCAGGAGCAATGAAGAGGTTTGGGAAACGGGGCCTGGGATTCCAACCTAGCTTTGGTGATGCCGAACCTTTATCGTTGGAGGCAACATATTGATCCTATGGACCAAACTACGGTATTCCTTAAAATAAGGACACTAACGTGTTCTTCCCTTTATGATGGATTGAAGGCAGCATTGTGTGACTTCATAGAAGTGTTATCAGCTGGATAACTCCTATAGGCCAGACAGAATTGTCAAAATACATATTTACTGTAGTAATATTGGCTAATACAAATTGAGTACTAAGAAATACTCATCCGTTATAATAACTCATAGTCACATGAATCCTTTTACTCCCTGTTACCATTAAAATCTTTTTGAGAAACATACATTAAAGAGAGAAATGAACATTAGATAGATTATTTACCTTAATCAAAGTCAAAAGTGACTGATCAACAAGGCTGATGCAAATTCCATATACTTCACTCAGGCCCTGGACTCTCTATTTCTCTGAATTCTGCAGTGCTGGCTTCTGTAAGTTTCTTTGCTATTTGTGTTCTGGGCCTAGAACCTGACAGCAGCTGATGCTCCAGGGATATTTGCTGACTGAGAGTCTTATGTGAGCATCACAGGCTCTCCTTGACATACGCCTCTGAAAGCCCCTTCTTTGGGATTTCATGTGAAACACCTGGGATCTCATCTTTTGACCCACACCCTTTACGTAGATGAAGTCAGGTTTATTAGCAGATGCCATCAGTCAGAATTCCCATTGATCCTCATTATTGAGTAAAGAGATTTATTGCTCTCAGGAAATGGTGGCCAGGATTACTGTTGACCTCTCCACAGACTGGGCTCTCACAGATAATGATACGGCCAGAAGGATGCACCCATCTGGGTCTACAGGTGCATGAGATTGTAGCAAGAACAGGTCCCCAAGAGTGTGATTTACCCTTGGGTCCAGCCCTTCCTGTGCAGAAGCAGGATCTGAATGTCTCTGAGAAGGAAAGAGACATGGACTCTTAGCGTGTACAAGTCAGTCA